AGTGTCCTATAAGCATCTGCATTTGTGGCTTTTGTTATTTAGGGCTTTGCCTCTTCTATTGTGCTCAGCGGTGGCTACAAGGTTTTATAAACATCCCCATTGCAAGACATGTTCAGCTCAAATACTTGCCAGTTGGAGGGAGTAACCTGGGAATAGTTCTATGTGAGATCAGAGAGGAAGGGATAAAGTAAAACCAAAGTCAAATGACTATTTTTATCAAACCTCTCTCTCTTTTTAATATGCTGCCTCTGTCCCAGAACACCAATGACCTATGAGTCAGTGCTGTAGATGCAAGCTTACCTCAGACCAAAAAGAGGTCTGATAGCCACAAAAGTTACCAAGCCCCAATTCAGGTCCTTTCCCAACACCTACTCCCTGTAGGTCCTTGAAGTTCATCTTAGACTAACCGGTAACCTTACCCCTGAAAATAAGTCCAATTTTCACTCACAGGTTATTCCATCCATCACTCACCCACCTCTGCCTACTATGAGGAGGAGTTGAAGTTCAACATGAAAGTTGAGACAAAGCCCAACCCACCCCAGGGGAGCTATGCCAGATAATTGAGTCTTTTGTCACCTGCCCCCCCCTCAAAAGAGCTTCTATTTGGGGTCACTCCTTGTGTCTTCACCTTCAGAAAGTCAGGAGGAGGAAAGGCAAACCTCGTTTCACACGCCCTCTGCTTCCTGTCCTCCCAATACAGAGTGCTTCAAAGGGGTGCCTCTGAGTCCAGGGAGGGGAAGGGCTGGTGTCCACATGGGGCACAGTAAGCTGTCGATTCTGAGGTGCTTCACTGGACGCGGGGATCTGGGGCCCCCCGGGGGCCCCTCCCAGGTACCAACAAGACCTCTTACCAAATAACACCCTCCAGATGGTCCCCTTACCCTGGGAGGGTGCAGCATCTCTCAGTGCTTCCAGCGAGTGGGGCTTCCTGGCTCCAAAGTTCTGCTGGCTGTTGAGTCCCTGGCCCTCTTCCTTCACCCCTGGCTCGGCCAGGGCAGGGTGGCTTCAGTAAGTCCCCGTGGGCAGGCGGCCCGAGCCCCAGCCCCAGTCCCAGCCCCAGGGCTCTTCTCTGTGCCTGCTCAGCACTGCCCCTGTCAGTCCATGGCTGGCCCTTCTAACGTGCTCTCGGGCTCCACTTCCTGGTTTTCTTTCACAACTGAAAGTGGAAGCGATGTGACCTGGAGGAGCAAAGCCGGCCCAACGCCCCTGGCTCCTGTCCAAAGCCTTTAACCTCAGCCCCTCGGGGGCTGAAAGGAAAACCAGTTTGCCTGAGCACAGCTCCCCCTTGCCCCACCTAAACCAAAACAAAAAAGCTAGGACTGAAATGAGTGGAGGTGTCCACTCAGGCCACTATTATCAGCGTGGCAGATGCCAGCATGCTTCCTGCTGGGTGCCCAGGACTGGAAAGTACAGCCCAAGGTAAGTAGACACTCAGGGTGGAGCCAATGAGGAGGTCAGACTCAGAAGTCAGTGGAGCTGGCACTGCAATGACTGTGCCCCCAGCCCCCTGCACCCCCCACCCGCTGCCTACTGCTCCCTCACTCCAGCCCTTACCCACCTTTCAGCCCTCCAAGCTGGTCTGACCAGATGAGAAAACAAATGCATGGATGGAGAACAGCAGGAATCGTGAGTCCTTAAATAAACTGGATGTTGTTTCTTTTCCTCTGCCAGGTCAATTTACCTGTTTCACAGTTCAAACAATTCAATAGAAAATGTCTTCTGCCACCAAGAAGTTCTGCCATGACCAGGGGCGATTGCCTTATTTGAGTCAGTGGAGACTGTGGGCCATAGAAAAAGGCACAGGAGCTTCCATTCTCAAATATGGAAACAGACGTCTCCAGTCCTCCTGACCGTTCCCCTCCACACATGTACACCCGGCCCTCCAGATGTCCCAGGACTAAGTAGGCCTCACCTGGATGTTCGTCTCTTCCAGAAGAGTCATCAGTTCAGCATGAATCAGCTCTTTATTTCATTTTAATATTATTTTTAACCGTTTTATTAGGGACTCATACAACTCTGATCACAATCCATACATACATCCATTGGGTAAAGCACATTTGTACATTCATTGCCCTCATCATTCTCAAAACATTTGCTCTCCACCTAAGCCCCTGGCATCAGCTCCTCATTTTGTCCCCTGCCTCCCCGCTCCCCCCTCCCTCATGCCTCATGAACCCTTGATAATTTATAAATTATTATTTTGTCATATTTTGCCCTGTCCGACGTCTCCCTTCACCAACTTTTCTGTTGTCCGTCCCCCAGGGAGGAGGTTATTTATAGATCCTTGTAATCGGTTCCCACTTTCTATCCCACCTTCCCTCCACCCTCCCAGTACCGCCACTCACACCACTGGTCCTGAAGGGATCATCCACCCTGGATTCCCTATGTTTCCAGCTCCTATCTGTACCAGTGTACATCCTCTGGTCTAGCCAGATTTGCAAGGTAGAATTCGGATCATGATAGTGGGTGGGGAGGAAGCATTTAGGAACTAGAGGGAAGTTGTATGTTTCATCGTTGCTACACTGCACCCTGATTGGCTTGTCTCCTCCCCGAGACCCTTCTGTATGGGGATGTCCAGTGGCCTACAAATGGACTTTGGGTCTCCACTCCATACTCCCCCTCATTCACAATGATATGATTTTTTTTTGGTCTTTAATGTCTGATACCTGATCCCTTTGACACCTCGTGATCACACAGGCTAGTGTGCTTCTTCCATGTGGGCATGTGGGCTTTGTTGCTTCTGAGCTAGATGGCTGCTAGTTTACCTTCAAGGCTTCAAGACCCCAGACACTATATCTCTTGATAACTGGGCACCATCAGCTTTCTTTGCGAATCCAGCTCTGTATTAGAGGAAGGTTAGAGTTGGCCCTCGCTACAGAGGGCCACGCGGCAATGAGGTCCAGATGGCTCCAACTTAAAAAGCTATGGTGAACGGAGCCAGCATTTCAGAGAACTCAAAAGTTGGGCTTTAGTCCATCCTCTTGGCCCACGAGAGAAAGACAAAGGATGGTGATGTGGAGGACAGCCACCCTGGCATTTGACCTTCTGCATTATCTCAATGCTTTCGCTTTGGCTTTGTTTCAGGAGTTCAGCTCCCCAGGAAACAACTTCCTCTGGAGGAGAGTAGAGAACAGTGTCCAGTCCTAGATGCTCTCATATAGCTGGGTCCTCATGGGGTGCTACTTCCCTTATCAACCAGAGAAATCTCACAGGGCCAGGAAACCAACAAGCTTCACAGCTTGGCTAGCTTCCTCCTGGATGAATGCTCACATTTAGTAGGAACAGGCCCTTTAAAAATTCCGGTGGTGTTCTAACAAGCTGTCATTTTGTGATGCTCACCCTCCTGGCATGATCGCTGAAGACAAAATGGGTGTACAAGCAAATGTGATGAAGAAAGCTGATGGTGCCCGGCTATCAAAAGATACAGTGTCTGGGGTCGCAAAGGCTTGAAGTTAAACAAGTGGCCATCTAGCAGAGAAGCAACAAGTCCACATGGAAGAAGCACACCAGCCTGTGCAATCATGAGGTGTTGATGAGATCAGGTAAGAGGTATCAGAAGACCCCAAACAAACAAACTAAAAACATATTGCTGAGAATGAGGGGGGTCAAAGCAGAAACCCAACATCCATCTGTAGACAGTGGGACATCCCCTCACAGAAAGGCCACAAGGAAGGGATGAGTCAACCAGGGCACAGTATAGCATGGATGAAACACACACTATTCCTCTGGTTCCTTGAGGCTTCCTCACCCCCCACTATCATGACCCCAGTCCTGCCTTTAACTTTGAAGTAGACCAGAGCATGTACACTGGTACAAATAAGAGCTCATGACACACGGAATCGAGGTTAGATAAACCCCTCAGGAACAGAAATGGGTAGTGATACCAGGAGGGGAGGGGGAAGGTGAGGAGGGGAGGGGAAGAAGAAGGAACCGATCATAATGATCAACACATAACACACACACACATACACACAGGGATGAACAACAGAAACTATAGGGGAAAAGAGACAGTGGTTAGTGGTAAGATATGAAAATAGTAATTTATAATTTATCAAAGGGCCCTAAGGGTGGGAGAGAGGGCAGGAAGGAAGGAAAAAAGAGGAGCTGATAACAAGGGCTCAAATAGAAAGCAAATGTTTATAAAATAATAATGGCAACATATGTACAAATATGCTTGATACAATTGATTTATGGATTGTTATAAGAGCCCCAAATAAAAAGGATCTTTAAAAATAAAAAAAAATAAAAAATATGATAAGTGAAAAAGAAAATTCCATAGGTGCTGCAGTCCTATCCAACCCAATGTATGTGTGAGTGACACTCCCAAGAGTTCAGAGGCAACACACAAGAATAGCACATTGTGGTGAAGGGTTAGAGACAGACTGATCAGGACTGAAATCCTACCTGTACCACCTCCCCGTGATGTAGCCCAGCATACTTAATAGCTCAGAGTCATCACATTGCTCACCTCTAAAAGGGAATGATCCCACAGACCTTAGGGGAGATGGGGAACCAAGAAAATCACACATGTCACATACTTAGCTCAGTCCCCAGCACCTAACAGAATAAGTGCAAAGGAGTCCAGTCTCCTCCCTCCCAAATGGACATCTGCTGTATGCGGCTGATGCACATTCCCTCTCACCAGACTGATAGGGGTGATCTCAATGGACAGAGAAGGAGACCTACTCCCTTTAGCTTTGTCTTTATCCCCTAGAGACATTGAAATCCGCTATTTTATCAGAATTTTGTGGAATTGACAGCTTTCTCTTCCATCCTAATTCCTACAAATATTTGAATAGCTCAGGTGTCTTCACCCCTTTTCTAATGATTTATTACTTATTGCCTTCTACGCAAGTAAGCTGAGATTGCTATTCAGTCAAATGTAATTTCATTACATGAAGGAATCTTTGGCTGAGAATAGACATATGTCCCATCTTTGTGTTCCCAAGTCCCCTCCGTCCTCATGATCCCACCGATGCATCAAATACAGAGGAGCATACCTGGAACAATGTTTTCAACTCCTGGGTCCAGGAAATGTACCCCTCACAGCTGGCTGACCTGGATCAGCAGCACATTCAGGCCCTCCTGCCTTCTTCACAGCTCGGAGTCAGAGCCACGCCTGCACCCGTGTGCACTGTCCTGTGAGTGGCCAACCAGCTCCTTACAAACCTTTGAACCTGTTGCAATAGAAGTTCAAAGGTAGAAGCTGCCTGTTCAAACACTTGTAGTAACCTCCAACACTGATAAGTGCAGAATTTGGCAAAAGGTTAAAACTTTAAGATTGTTGTGCAATGGGCTCAAGAGGGAGGGGGAAAAACACACAAACCTTCAGTTTAGAAAGCCAACATTTAACAAGAGAAAGCTTTTATAAAGTCCATACATACTTCAGGGAAGGGAAGAGGTGGATAAGAATTTGAGCCCACTTTGTTTTCACAGAAGTTTTGAGATTGTTGGAGGAAGAGAAAGGTCTAGATAGTGAGAAGAAAGGTGTACATAACTCAAGAAAATGGTTCTTGAGTGAGAAAAAAAATGAGAAGCTACTCTAGTTGACTAAAGATATAGCCTAAAGACTCTAAGGAAGCAGAGGTCTGCATTTCAAGATCAGCCTTCATCAGGGTACAAGACCAACTTAAAGAAAAATCAGCTGGATTCCTTTAAGCTAACAAAAAGACCTGAAAGGGAAATTAGAAAAACAACACCAATTACAATAGCCACCCAAAAGATGAAATAGGAATAAATATAACCAAGAAAAAAAAGACTTGTACAAAGGAAATGACAAAACACTGCTACAAGAAACCAAGAGGCCTACATATATGGAAGAACACAGTATGCTGATGGATAGGAAGATTGGACATTGTGAAAATGTCAACACTACCCAAAGCTATCTAATATTACAATGCAATTCCAATCTGGATCCCAGGATCATTCTTTAAAGAAATGGAAAAACTAATCACCAACTTTATATGGAAAGGAAAGAGACCCAGGTTAAGCAAAGCACTGCCAAAGAACAAAAAAGTAGCCTCTCACTTCTCATTCTCAAAACCTACCACACAGTCACAGTAGTGAAAACAGCCTGTTACTGGTACAATGAAAGCCACAAAAACCAACGGAAAAGAATTGAGAACCCAAAGGTAAATCCATCTACCTATACACCAGCAGTGTAGCGAAGCAGGTCTCGAAGGAACCTCAAGCTCTAGGGACACAATCCAGGGGTCGGCAGTCTCACAGGGAGTGTAGATCATGAGTTGAGGAAGAAAACTAGCAGCCACACACTGGCCCAATCACCAGAGAGCAAGAGAGGGAGAGGCGGGGCTTGCCAAGTCATTTATCTTTGTCTTCCAATCAAACTGTGACCTTATTCATCCCACATGTTCCGATTGGTCAGGTTGGCACAAAAAACCTACCTATCACGAGTGGTATGGTGCTTCTTTAAAAAGTTGGGAGAGCAAAGTCATGAAGTCCCTGAGGAACCCCACAAATAGACTTCTGACTCAGGGTGGAGGGTGCGTAGGGAAGTACTTGACACCCCATCAGACCAGGTTAGGGGCATTCATAAAAGTTAGCAGATCAATCTGGAACTATTTATAGGCTTAATTTTTATTTTAATGTATGTCTATCTATATAAGATAGGCAGGATAAACAATCCCGAGGAGAAACCAATGTGACCAACGTTGAGTGGGTGGGGGGAACGGAGAGGGGAACTAACAAACCCAGGGACGGGGAAACAACAAGGGATCTAAGATGGTCGAGGAGGATGCAGAATGCCTGGTGGTGTTCAACCAACCGTAATGCAGCCAAGAGGAATTATTGAGAGCCGAATGAAGGGTCAACATGATGATGTGGCAGGAGGAAAGTAAATGAAATAGTGGAAAGAGCTAGGAGGTAAAAGCTGTATATATAAATATAGACATGTATATATGTAAATATATGAATTTATAAAGATAAGAGTATTGGTGCCTGTACATATATTTATATGTTAAAAGAATCAAAGTAGCCGATGGACTCTGGGCCTCTACTTAAGTCTTCCCTTAACACAAGAACACTTTGTTCTAATAATCTGGCACTGTGTGATACCCAACTTCCTGACACAACCACTGACGACAAAATGGGTGCATAAGCAAATGTGGTGAAAAAAGCTGATGGTGCCCAGCTATCAAAAGATATACCATCTGGGGTCTTAAAGGCTTGAAGGTAAACAAGTGGCCATCTAACAAGGAAGTAACAAAGCTCACATGGAAGAAGCACACCAGCTTGTGTGATCATGAGGTGCTGATGGGATCAGGTATCAGAAGATCAAAAACAAACAGTTAAATCGATGTGAAAGAAAGGGGTCAGAGTGAAGACCCAGAGCCCATCTGGAGACAAGTGGACATTCCCTCACAGAAGGATCAATCCTGTGGAAGGGATGATTCATCCAGGGTGTAGTATGGCACCAACGAAACACACAATATTCCACAGCATCAGTTGCCAAGCTCCATTCCAGAGCTTCTGATTCAGTAGATCTAAGATTCTGCATCCTTAACAAATCCAAGGCAATGTGGATACCGCTGATCTGAAGGCTACACTTGGACCACAGGAGGCACCATTGCTTTAAGCAGCCACGCTACCTTCAAATAACTCACTCACTGAAATGTCAAAAGGAATTGTGTTGGGAACTCTCTTTGTTGTAACCCTACAGCTTGACACAGAGTAGACTGACTTCCTCTGAGTCAAGGGTGTGACTCAAGACCAGCCAGGAGGTCAAGTCCAATGCCACTTGGAGCCATTGCTACTAACGGTGCCACTTGTCCTTTATGTATTGAAAGCTTCAGAGCATCAAAACTAGATATGCTGTGTGGGAATGGGTGGGGGTGTGTAGGGAACACTACCTCATCCAATAGCCATTATCTTATTCTTGAGAGTATATGAGAGCCCAAAGGGTTGAGCAGTTGGCTAATATGTTGCATCTACTTTGTTGAAAAAGTTAAGTCCAGACTTCAGGTCTCCTATACCCCAGGCCTGGTGGTGTAGTGGTTACCAGTTACGCTGCCAATTGCACAGTCGGCAGTTCAAAACCATCAATCTCTCTGTCAGAAAAAGTGGAGGCCCTGTAAAGAGTTACAGTCTCAGAAACTCACAGGGACAGTTCTATGCTGTCCTACGGGGTCGCTATGAGTCAGCATCGACTTGATGGCAGTGACTGAGTGATCACCCCAGCTGGCTACATCATCTTTTGATCAATGACTGTTTCTTTACAACATCACAAAACCATGTGTTAGATCAGAGTTCTGTGCAGCATCCCTCACCCACTCCCACCTCCTACAGCCCTATGCATCTCGAATGCAATATTAAAGCAAATTCCTTTTAGGACTGGGCATCCTGCAGTCCCTAAAAAGTGAAAAACTTCATTTTGTAGTGTGTCTCTAGATGAGATGCCTGCATTATGGAAGTCTGATCCAATGACCCTGATACTGATATGCTCATACATGCTAATCTGATCAGTTTATATCTATAGTAGTTACATATTCTGTTGCCAATTTTTGACTTATGAGTGAAGGGGTGTTTAGCCTGTCAATCAGGTTGCAGCTTGATGACCTCATTTGGAAGCACTAAGGAGATAATTCATTGGAGGTGGGACACACATGCACCTCCTGTGAGGCATACTTGTGAACAAGACTCATGGAGCTATGCTAGAGCCCTGGAGCTGAAGGAGCCATGTGGAGACCCCTGCCAGCGCTGAGATGCCTCTACCGCCACTGGATCCACAAGACTTTCCATCCACTGGCCTGGGATCTTCCTGCATTCAGCGTCATTGCATGTGTTGCGAGAGTCTGAAGAGGAATTTATAGATTGGTATTGGACTTATGAGCTAACATCGGACATATGGACCTGATCTGTACTGGGCTGGGATGTTTTTTCAACATTCAATTACTCTTGTATATAAAGTGCTTTCCGATACACTTGTGAGTCTCCCTAGATTTGTTTCTCTAGTCTACCCTGATTAACACAATATCTATTCCCTGCCTTTCTTTGTGGCTTTCGACTTACCATACATTTGATGTTGAACAGTTCCTGGAGACAAGAGCCCGGGAAAATTCCAAGATACCATCTACAACTGGGACTCTCAGCAACCCTGAAGTAGGAAACCAAGCTGTCACCTGTTTTTGAAGGCTGAGAAGGCCAGGGGCTTTAAAAAGATGAAATGGCCCTACTGTTCCCAGGTAAATGTTGGGCAGCTAACTGTCAGGTCTGTGGCTCAAGCCGACCAGCCATTGCTACGGAGACAGATGAGGCTGTCTATTCCTGTAAAGACTGACCACCTCAGGGTCACTAGGAGTCAAAACAAACTCACTGGCAGTGGGTGGCTGGCTGGCTGCATTTTTACAGCTTCTCCCGTGTTTACAACACACCTTTCAGAGCGTCTCTTAGCAAGCCCGTGTTGTTGTTGGCTGCCGTGGCGCTGGCCCTCAACCCATGGTGGCACCCTGCACAGTGGAACAAGATGCTGCCTGGTGCAGCACCATGCCCCTGATTGGTTGTGGATTGGCTCATTGGGACCCATAGGACTTTTGTTGGCTGGCATTTGGAACTAGATTGTCAGGCTTTTCTTCCTAGTTCATCTTAGTCTGAAGATTTTCCTGAAACCTGTCCAGCATTGTAGCAGCATGCAAGCCTCCACAGATACGGTGGTGGCTGAGCATGGGGTGTATTGGCTGGGAACTAAGCCACATTTGTTGCAGCATGTATGTACGTAAGAGCTGTATCACTGAGCCATGGAGACAATGGTTTCAACATCCCAAACCTACTCTGGCTACTGGGTCCCAGGCCGATGAAGAGCTTTTTCCAGGTACCCTCTTATTTCCCCCTTACAATAAACTCGCATGGTAGTTACCATGTTACAGAGGAGAAAATGGAAGGTTGAGAAGCTAAGGAAGCTGCCTGAGTTCTCCTAGCTTGTTCAAAGTGCTATGAAGCTGGTGGTGGAGCCAACTATTGTTCTTAAAGATTTCGGGCAATTTCCCAAAGTCAAGGGACTTGGAGCTTGTCCCAGAAAGGCAGCCCTTCTTTCCGGAGGCCTGTTGGTTGCAAAGTAAATTTAAGGGTAGGTGGGGGA